AGGCCTTGATGAGGGTCAGGAAGTAGGCTTGTTTGGCTGCGTGGAGGGAGGAGGTGTAGGTGTGGAAGGCAGATTTATAGCGGGTGAAGGCTTGTTGGGATTTGGTTTTGCGCCGTAGTCGCTCTACTGTGTCGTTTGAGGGTTTTGGTGTGATCAGTCTGCCAGGGCTGGAGCGGTCGGGGTCTGATGTTTCATATGGTTAAAGGTGCTAGTGAGTCAAGGGCTGTTGACAGCGCGTTGTTATAGGCAGTCATGGCCAGGTCGGGGCAGGACAGGGGGAGGATGCTGTCATGGAGTTGATCAGCTGCAGAATGGAGGGGGGCAGGGTTGAGGTTGGGGAGGTTGCGGCTGGTAGTAGTGTGATTAGGAGGGGGAGGCGTTGGAGAACGAGGAGATAGAGAAGGTAATCAGGTTGTGGTCAGAGAGAGGGAAGGGGGTGTTAGTGAGGTTGTGGGGAGCGCAGCGGTTGGAGAAGACAAGGTCCAGGATATTACCGTCGGAGTGGGTGGTGGATTGTATGCACTGTGCGAGTGCAAAGGAAGAGGTTAAGTGGAGGAGATGGGATGTGGCCGGGGTTGTCAATGTTGACAGGGATGTTGAAGTCTCCAAGGATGATGGTGGGTAGCTCGGAGGAAAGAAAGAAGGGTAGCCAGGCGGAAAAGTCATCAAGGAAGCGGGGTACGAGTCCAGGAGGCCGGTAGATTACGGCAATCTTCAGGGGGGTTGGGGAGAATAGTCGGACGCAGTGGGCCTCGAAGGAGGAGAAGGATAGGGAGGGGGGGTTTGGGAGGACTCGGAAGGTGATCTGTGGTGACAGGAGCAGACCAACCCCACCACCTTTACGACCGTTGGGTCTGGGTGAGTGGGTCCAGGTGAGACCTCCATAGGAGAGTGCAGCAGGGGAAGTAGAGTCAGTGACCTGGGTCCAGGTTTCCGTAATCGCCAGGAGGTTGAGGGAGCGGGAAACAAAGAGGTCGTGGATGGCGGTAATCTTGTTGCACACACCGATCGGGCGTTCAGGAGTGCACATGAAAATGGGGGGGGGGGGGGGTTTTAGGGAGCAGGGGGACAGATACTAAGTTGCGGGGGTTGTGGCAGGCCGTGGAAGCGGGAGGGTGCTGTGTGGGTGAGCGAGGTGGTGGAGTGAATTTAAAGCCGTATTAAACCCAAAAGAGAACATTTGCTATATTGCAGCTTACCAGCTCTTAGATGTTATGGCTGCATTAGTTTTCTTTTTTAGGCTTTCTTTCTAATATTTTGATCTGGGCAGCACAGTGGCTAAATGGTTAGCACTCCCGCCAGGCAGTACTAGGGTCATTGGTTCGAATCCCAACCACGGCACCACCTGCCTGGAGTTTGCATGTTCTCCCTGTTCCTGCGTGGGTTTCCTTTGGGTATTCCGGTTTCCTCCCGCACTCTAAAGACATGGCGGTTGCCATTAGTTCTAATGGCACGCTGCCTGCACTGGAAAATGCAACCGTACTGGGAACCTTGGCTGCGTTTTCCAAAGAAGTGCAGGGACTTCTTCCCTGCGTGTCATGGGGCACGGGAATCCATTCAAATGAGTGGGCTCTCGTGCCCGTGCAAAACGCGGCCCGCACGGCCGCATAGATGTGATCCAGGGGTTCCTGTCCAGGTCAATTTTCAGCTTTCACACTTTGAATGACAATTGTGCGGTCATGCAACACTGTACCCATATGAATTTTTTAGCATTTTTTTGAGACGGATAAAACTTTATTTTGGTGCTCTTTATTTACCACTGGGATTTTTATTTTTGTTGCTATATAAATGAAAAAGTCCAAATATTTAGAGAAAAAGTTTTTTTTCTTATTAAATTTTGCAAATAAATCTTTCTTAATAAATCTTATATAGTGACATCAATTTACGCAGCGCTTTACATATATATTGTACATTCACATCAGTCCCCGCCCCCCGAGGGGCGTACAATCTAAGGTCCCTAACTCACATTCATACATACACATACTAGGGACAATTTAGACAGGAGCTAATTAACCAATTGGCTGCTGTGTAAATTGTCCCTAGTATGTATGACTGTGAGTTAGGGACCTTAGATTGTACGCCCCTCGGGGGCGGGGAACTGCTGTGAATGTACCATATATATGTAAAGTGCTGCGTAAATTGACGGCGCTATATAAGTACCTGTAATAAATAAATAAATAATCTAGTGATCTGGCCAGTAAGTCTGCTGTTTTTCAACAGAACAAACTCTCTTGCAGTTACAGGAATGAGACAAACCATTTTAACATGGTCAGGAGTGCCTAAAATAATCAGCTTTTATTTTTTTGTATGTAAAGCCTTTATCCCAAAAAGAAAAAAAAAAACTGCTGTGACTGATTATAAAGTGTGAGCTAGAGTTCAGTTTCAATTTGGTACTGTGTTTTAGCTCCGCTTGTACAGCTAACACTTCCACCCCCCCCCCGCCCAGACTGGCAATGCTGCTATCCAAAGGTGCCCCCTGTGCTCCTGTCCTGACTAGTCTAATCCTGGTTTTATAACCATTGCTGTGTACATTGGTTTGTTAGGCTCCATGTACACGGAACACTTCTGAACGATGGAAACTGCTGGAAAACGTAGGTTAAAAAACGTCTGTTTAGCCACGTTTGCGTTTAGAAGCGTTTTTTAAAGATAAGCACAGGAGAACCTCCCAAATGCCCAGAATGCACTGAAAAGTGGTAAATTATTAACTATTTCAGACTGTTTCAGAGAAATACAGAGAGTAGAAGCAGAGACAGCAGTATGTGTTGAGATTAGCTTAGGTGTGAGTTGATAATTAACATTTCTTTTGTTTCCAAGGGTGGGAAAGGTGTCTGGTGAAGGGAGTCATTAAGGCCACCTGGCAGGGGGTCTTCATGAGGAATTTGAGGTGTGAATGGTCATTAACATATCTTTTGCTTCCAAGGTTGGGAGAGGTCTGAGATGTGAATGGTCATTAACATATCTTTTGCTTCCAAGGGTGGGAGAGGTCTGAGGTGTGAATGGTCATTAACATATCTTTTGTTTCCAAGGGTGGGAGAGGTCTGAGGTGTGAATGGTCATTAACATATCTTTTGTTTCCAAGGGTGGGAGAGGTCTGAGGTGTGAATGGTCATTAACATATCTTTTGTTTCCAAGGGTGGGAGAGGTCTGAGGTGTGAATTGGTCATTAACATATCTTTTGTTTCCAAGGGTGGGAGAGGTCTGAGGTGTGAATTGGTCATTACAATGTGTGACAAGCTTGGTAGGATCATCCTGTGTTCAGTGTTTTGTCCATTTGAGTACCTTGAAAACACTTTGCATGCATATTTCATGATGAATAAAGGCTCTGGACAGCATCGGGAACTGGAAGAGTTTAAAAATTGCAGACGCAAACGCTTATAAACATGATTTGCCGCGTTTAGCTGTGTTCACAAGCGTTTGAAATGCTGATAAAATCGACTGCTGAACGCAAGTTTTCTGCGTTGAAAAAAAGACTGTAAACTCAACTGCCTGTAAAGGGCTGTAAACGACGATGTGTACACGGACACATAGGAAAACATTAGGGAGAGTTCAGGGGCTGCTGAAAAAAACGCAGAACAACTCCTAAACGTGCGTTTATCAGCTTCAGTGTACATGAGGCCTTAGTGTTTTTTTTTTTTTTTTTTTTTTTTTTTTTTTTTTTTAACATTCTGCTAAAACTTTGTGAAGTATTACTGCTTGAATCGTGCAGAAAGGGGACATACCCCGAAAGCTTGTCCTGAAAATTATATGTTCGTGCAAATTTTAAAAAAAAAGTACCACAGACAGTACTCAATTGTTTTTGTTGCAAGTGCACTAATACGGCTACAATGTAAATAATAACAGTGCAGCGCTCAAAATGAATTATAGGCAGTATAAAGTCTATGCGATCTCCGCAGTGTTGTCTGGATGTGATGAAGACTTCCAGAATTGTACTGCTTCAACTAATAGCAATGCGCACTCACCAGAAACGCATGGATTATGCGTATGTTGGAATAATCATCCCAGATGTCAGATCCATCGAAGACCAAGTGGTGGGCATCCCTCTCACGGTGGGTCATCAGAGACTCCAAATCAAGTCCAGAGATCCCCTTAAGGTCAGTCAGGTAATCCACACTGATAGTAATGATCCCTCCTCTGGATGGTATAGGCACCTTCTCTGGGGGGGTAATAGCTCCACAAAGGAGCCCCAAAAAACAGGTGCCAGAGATAGTGTAGTATGTTCTTGAATAAATTTTATTAATCAATAGCAAAACAGGGCAGTATGCACATCACAACACTGGTTAGAAGTGAAAAAACAGCAGTACTGACCCCAATAAAGATGGCCGCCGGGCCTCCTCGTGGCTCCGGCGGTGAAATGACATCACGCTTTGCACAGCTCCTCCTAGGAGGAGCTGTGCAGAGCGTGACGTCATTTCACCGCCGGGCGGCCATCTTTATTGAGAGGGATGCCCACCACTTGGTCTTCGATGGATCTGACATCTGGGATGATTATTCCAACATGCGCATAATCCATGCGTTTCTGGTGAGTGCGCATTGCTATTAGTTGAAGCAGTAAAATTCTGGAAGTCTTCATCACATCCAGACAACACTGCGGAGATCGCATACACTTTACACTGTCTATAATTCATTTTGAGCGCTGCACTGTTATTATTTACATTTATATATACATATTTTGAAGGTATTGTGGTTACCTGGAGTGTTCAAGCTGCTGCATGCATTTAAGAGCGCTCAATACAATTTGTTTTTAAAATACGGCTACAATCACCTCAAGTCAGAAAAAAGTTCAAAGCAACAAAATCTATTCACACCATCCATGGTCCCATCAAGAGCCATTTATTGTTTACGTAAACGCAAAGTGGAGCCTGAAGTACGTATATGCCATGAGTTGCAGAGAGCCAGGCCTTGGCTTGCATGGCAAGGCCGTGGTAATAATGGTGCCATGTGTTTTTAGGGAATCGAGCCTTGACGTGCCAGATGAGTATTCATGCAACTGTGTTTTTCAGGGAGCCGGGCCCACGTACTGCTCTCGCTCAGTCAGCAGGATGGCATAGAACAACACATGGATTTCGAGTCGCGGTACACCTTGTTGCAGCTCTTTGCTGAGACCACCAGCTCAGAAGAACATTGCATCTCCTTTGAAGGGATACATCTCCCGCAGGTAAGTGCTACATATGTCCAGCAAGGTGGATGTAAAGCAGGGGGGGGCTCTGATTTATGGATCGATGTCTAGGTAGAAAGATCGCCATCTGTGGGGTTGATTTATTAATCACTTCAAGTCCGGACACTTTCACCCCCTTCCCCTAGGTTTACATATGTGTGGGTGGTGCTGCTGCGGGATCCGCGCGAAAATCTGTGCAGCCGCACCACCCGCACAGAGAAATGCGGACCTGCGGGCGGGTGCCATTAGTTCTAATGGTACGCCGCCTGCACTGGAAACCGCAACCGTACTGGGAACCTCAGCTGCGGTTTCCCTGCGTGTCACGGGCACGGGAGTCCATTCAAATGAATGGGATCTCGTGCCCGTGCAAAACACGGCCGCATATATGTGAAACGGGGGTTCCTGTCCAGGCCAATTTTAAGCTTTCAGTGCTGTCACACTTTGACAGTTGTGCGGTCATGCAACACTGTACCCATGTGAATTTTTTAGCATTTTTTTTGAGACAGGTAAAACTTTATTTTGGTGGTATTTATTCACCACTGGGATTTTTATTTTGTGGCTATATAAATAACAAAATCCAAACATTTTGAGAAAAAAAAAGTTTTTCTTATAAAATTTAGCAAATAATCTTTCTTCATAAATCTTGGCCAAAATGTGTTCAGCTATCTTTTTAGTAAAAAAAAAACAAAAAAAAAAAAAAAACCCAAATTTAGTTTATAATCTTTCAAAAAATTTTTTTTACATTTTTTTTTTTAACCACTTGCCCTCCTGAGGATTTACCCCCCTTAATGACCACGCCTCTTTTTGCTACTTGGCGCTGCACTAATTTAACTGATAATTGCGCGGTCATCATGCAATGCTGCACCCAAACGAAATTTACGTCCTTTTTTCACACAAATAGAGCTTTCTTTCGGTGGTATTTGATCACCTGTGCGCTTTTTATTTTTCACGCTCCAAACAAAAAAAGACCAAACATTTTAAAGAAAAATAATATTTTTTACTTTCAGCTATAAAAAATATATAGTAAACTCAAAGTTGGTTATAAATTTAGGCCAAAATGTATTCTGCTCCATGTTTTTGGTAAAAAAAATCCCAATAAGTGTATATTGATTGCTTTGTGTGGAAGTTATAGCGTCTACAAACTATGGGATAGATACTGCAATTTACGCCATTTTTTTTGCTATAAAGCGCTGCGCTAGTTGTGCGGTCATGCAGTACGGTACATAAATGAAATTTATGTCCTTTTTTTTCCCACAAATTGAGCTTTATTTCGGTGGTATTTGATCGCCTGTGCATTTTTTATTTTTTGCGCTATAAAAAAAAAAAAAAAGGCTGACAATTTTGAGAAAAAAAATATTTTGGACTTTTTGCTATATAACATGTACAGTAAAAAAAAAGTTAAAAATCAAATTTCGTCACAAATTTTGGCCAAAATGCATTCTGCGACATGTCTTTGCTACAAAAAAAACCCAATCTGTGTAAATTCATTGGTTTACGTAAAAAGTTATAGTGTTTTCAAACGGCAGGAAAGATGCTCGGATTTTTTTTTTTTTTATACTAATAATGGCGGCGATCAGCGACTTATGGCGGATATTTGACACCGGTGGGAACTGACTTGGGGTCACTGACATCCCCAGTGACACCAATACAGTGATCAGTGCAAAAAAAAAAAAAAAAAACACTGACACTGTACTAATGGCACTGGGGAGGAAGGGGTTATTTTTTTTATTCACTGAAAGGATTAACTGTGTGAGGGGAGTGTTTTACTAGGGGGCGGGGGTGTTTACTGCACTGGAACAGGCTGATCAGGAGAGATAAACTCTTCTCTCCAGATCAGCGTGTCAGGAGCTGTCGGGGAACTGACAGAAAGCAGAGCTACTGCAGCCCTGCTCTCTGTCAGTGATTGCTGCTAATCGGCAGGACACGGCCGGTAATGACCGGCCGTGACCCGGCGACTGACTCCCGCGGCCGGGATCGGTGGTGCAGGTAGGGTGGTGGCACGCCTCGCGCTCGCCCTCTCCCTATTTTGCAAAAGCACGTTTTAAAACGTGGTTTTGCCCAGCCGTGCCGACCTGCCACCGTATTTCTACAGTGGCTGGTCGGCAAGAAGTTAATATTATTTATTTTTTTTTTTTTTTTTTTTAACATAGCGTCACCATAATGACACTGTACTACTTGTGGGGGGGTGTTGAAGTTTTTTTTTACACTGATTGCGTTTACACTCATAAAGGCTGTAAAAGCAATCATTTCTCCTTTTCTCTGGCTGCATTCTTGCAGCTATTGAGAAATACTGTGTGAGCTGTGATTGGTCACAGCTTGTCACATGGCACAAGGCTGTTGTGAATTTCCTTGTACCATGTGACCTTTGTGATCATTCACAGATTTCACTAGTAGTAAGCAATGATGTCAGAAGTGACATCTTGCTGACTACTATTCATGTGATCACTGATTGGCCAATCAGTGATCACATGATCGGGACCTCACACGGATGTCCCATACAGCGATCGGTGTTCAGTTGTCCCTGCACTGGATTGCGGTGCTGCGCGCTCCCAGGGAGTGCGCACAGGTAATGGATGCGGAAGGATGTTTATAAACGGCAACCCGCTTCGGCGCGGCTCCCGTCCAGGGGTTAAAGGAAAATAGATACTGCATTTTGCAGTTGCTCCAGACCTTAATAAATGAGGTAAAGCTTCACTTTACAAAGTATACCCAATCATGTGCAAGAAATATAAAAAAAACTGCATTTTTTGCTTGCACATGTTTGGATGATGGAAGTCAACAGAACATCTGTTTATTTACTAAACGCCAAGTAGCAAAAAGAGGCGTGGTCATTAAGGGGGGTAAATCCTCAGGAGGGCAAGTGGTTAAAAAAAAAAAAAAAGTAAATAAATTATTTACTCTGGAGCAACTGCACTTGCAGAGTGCACTGTCTGTTTGCTTTTAGTAAATCACCCCCTTTGTTTTTGTGTATTAATTATATTTTTTGGTGGCAGATTCCGGGGAAGCAACTCTTCTCACTTGTGAAACGTTACTTGTGTGTCACATCCCTGCTGGACCTGCTGAGCAGTGACCGGCCAGATCGCGGCGAGATGTCCCGGCTGCAGCGCCAGTTTGATTTCAGCATGGCCATGGGCAGCCTGATCTGTGAGCTGGTACGGGTGATGGGTTGGGTGAGCGAAGAATCTACAGAGAAAGAAAATATCTCAGACTATGAACAACTTCCTCGAATCATTCGTTCCATCTTCCAGCCCAAGGTTCCGGCCTGTACCAGCTTCCAGGTGGAGTCTAGTTCTCAGATACATGCCACTGCTTCCATGAAGAAACCAGCAAAGATGTTCCTGGAGCCGTCAGACTTTGCCACACGAAACGCTTATGTTGATTATGTCCAGGAATCCTTAAAACAAGGGATGACTGTGAAGATGTTGGAAGACTATGATGAGATCTGTTCTGGAGATGAGGGTGTCTTCCGCCAGTGCAATAATGGAATGCCACCTGTTCAGGTGAGATGCTGCACAGGAGGGTAGGTCACACTGTAATGGATGGGTAGGGCTTCTGGTGGAGATCAGAGGACCTCACTAGGGTGGTTATACTGTTACAAAGTATGACCACCCTAGTATGACCTCCACCAGAAATTCCACCCATCTGTTACAGAGGACCTGAGGACCTCACTAGGGTGGTCATACTTTGTAATAGATGGGTGGAATTTCTGGTGGAGGTCAGAGGACCTCACTAGGGTGGTCCTCCGACATCCACCAGAAGCCCCACCCATCCATTACGCTGTGTGACCACCCTAGTGAGGTCCTCTGACCTCCACCAGAAATGCCACCCATCTGTTACAGAGGACCTTACTAGGGTGGTCATACTTTGTAACAGATGGGTGGAATTTCTGGTGGAGGTCAGAGGACCTCACTAGGGTGGTCACACAGCGTAATGGATGGGTGGGGCTTCTGGTGGATGTCAGAGGACCTCACTAGGATGGTCATACTTTGTAATAGATGGGTGGAATTTCTGGTGGAGGTCAGAGGACCTCACTAGGGTGGTCATACTTTGACCTCCACCAGAAATTCCACCCATCTGCTACAAAGTATGACCACCCTAGTGAGGTCCTCTGACCTCCACCAGAAATTCCACCTATCTGTTACAAAGGACCTCACTAGGGTGGTCACACAGCGTAATGGATGGGTGGGGCTTCTGGTGGATGTCAGAGGACCTCACTAGCGTGGTCATACTTTGTAATAGATGGGTGGAATTTCTGGTGGAGGTCAGAGGACCTCACTAGGGTGGTCACACAGCGTAATGGATGGGTGGGACTTCTGGTGGAGGTCAGAGGACATCACTAGGGTGGTCGCACTGTAATGGATGGGTGGGACTTCTGATAGAGGATGAAAATGAATACACTAGGGTGGTCACGCTGTGTAATGGATGGGAAAGACTACTGGTGGAGGGTGAAGATGACCTCAGTAAGGTGGCTACCATGTGTAAAGGATGGGTGGGACTTCTGTGGAGGGTTAAGAGGACCTCACTAGACAGAGCTGTGTTGGGCAATAATCCCGCAAGGGTCATTGTATTGAGGTGTCACCTAAAATGAGAAACTTTTTTATCAATCCACTTTGGGTGTGGATAAACTCTACGGAAACTTTGGTTATTAAACAGAATATGTATATTAGGTGACCAAAAAACAAAAATCTGTATAATAAAGATAGCATTAGCAGTAGAAATTACAGATAGCAGTAACAACCAGATAGGTTTTAATCCCCAATAATGGTATACCAGTGCAGCAGTGATACAGGTAAGATGAGTGATAAGAGGTGTAATAACTAGCTCTTTTAAAAAAAATTAAAATACAGGTGTGCCTCGGTTAATGTAATTCTTGGTTTATGAATGAAAATCCATTGAAAATAATGCCCTGATTTACGATTTTTTTTTGCATTACACCACCGTTAATGGGGACAAGGGCCTTTTCCCCACAACCATGGCCAGTGGTTGTGGGGGTGTCTGCGGACAGGGGGCTTATCGGAATCTGGAACCCACCTTTAACAAGGGGGCCCCCAAATCCCAGCCCCCCCCCCCCCCGATGTGAATGAGTATGGGGTACATGGTCCTGCTACTCATTCACAAAAAAACAAAGTGTAGTGTGAAAAAAGATAGGACATGGCCTTTGACAAGTCCTTTATTAAAAAAGAAAAGAAAAGAATGTCCCCCGCAGTAGATTCAATGTCAATCACGATGTCTGCCGTCACTGCCGACCCGGAAAAAGAATTACAAAAAAAAAAAAAAAAAAGGAGGTCCGCTCCAGACGATGTCTCCCAGCCGTCTGCCTGCTTCGGTGGTTTGACAGTTCTTAAATATGTAAGGGGCGGGGCCACCCGGGGACATCGGGCATGTGACCCCACCCCATGTGACATCAATGATGTCAGGCTGTATTATGAGGCAGGGTCACTTGGGTGATGGCCCTGGGTGGCCCCGCCTCTTACATATTTAAGAACTGTCAAACCACCAGAGCAGGCAGAAAGTCGGAAGCCATCGTTGGAAGCGGAACTTTTTTTTTTTAAATTCTTTTTTTTCAGGTCAGCAGGCATCGTGATTGACGAATCTACTGCGGGGGACATTCTTTTATTTTTTTATTTTAATACAGGACTTGTCCAAGACTGTCTGCTGTCTTTTTTTTTTTTTTTCACACTACACTTTTTTATTTTTTGTGAATGAGTAGTGGAACCATGTACTGCATATTCATTCACATGGGGAGGGGGGCCTTTCAGATTTCGATAAGCCCCCTGCCCACAGACCCCCACAACCACCAGCCAGGGTTGTGGGGAGGAGCCATCAACATGGGGACAAGGTGCTTTGGGGGGGAGCCCCCATGCCCCAAAGCACCCCCCTATGTTGAGGGCATGTGGCCTGGTATGGTTCAGGAGGGGGGGGGCGCTCACTGGTCCCCTCCTCTTTCCTGACCTGCCGCGCTGCATTCTCGGTTAAGGGTGTGGTATGGATTTGGGGGGGGACCCCACGCCATTTTTTTTTTTTTTTCTTGGCGTGGGAGTTCCCCTCAAAATCCATACCAGACCCGAAGGGCTTGGTATGGATGGGAGGGGGGACCCCATGCCGTTTTTTTAATTTTATTTTTTTAATTGCCGGCAATTCTTTTACATTAAGCTATCAGTGTGGAAACCCTGCTGACGGCTGAAATATTAACATATGGTTGTCACTACTAAAATACCGCATGACTTGAGAAAATATCTCATGCGGTATTTTAGCAGCGTTTACTTTTTTTCTGACCTCCGGAATGGATTAATTGGTTTTCAGTGCATTCCTATGGGAAACAGCGTTTCGGTTTACGAATTTTTCGCTATACGAAAAGTCCCGCAGAACTAATTAAATTCGTAAACCGAGGTACGCCTGTATATAAAAACTGGTGTTTATAAGTTATCTGCCAGCATTGTTTATAGTATGTTTTTTGTTTTTGTTTTTTGTTTTTTTTTTTGGTGAAAAATATGGGTACAATGTCAGTGATAATTCAGTGTACAGGTGTTTGTGTCTCAGTCTAAACTAGCCTTTCTCAACCATTTTAACTCGGAGGAACCCTTGAAGTAGGCTTCATGGAACTCCTGTTAATAAATATATCTACAGCTCGCAGTACATTAATGTGATGGTAATTGTGAAGAATTCCCGCCTTACAGATAGCTAAAAAGATCATAGGTGTCAGTGGGAACTTATCAGAGAGGCAGAAATTGCTCATTGCTTCAGTAACCCCTAGCAACATCTAAAGGAACTCTAGGGTTCCATGGAATCCTGGTTGAGAAACCCTCTGCTAAACTGGATGTAGACCTTAGCAGATGGACGGGTGTTCATGCATTATCCAGTTCTTAAGAGATGTTCTTGTCTGTGTACAGGACTGTGTGTTTGTTGGTTGTGGCTCAGCCAGAGGCAGGGCTCAACAAATCCCAATGCAAAAACCTGCTTCCGTAGACTTTCAGTGCAAAAAAATCGCCTTCCGTAGACTTCAGTCCCCAAAAAAAACACTCCCGTAGACTAAAGTGCAAAAAACCGCCTCACCTAGACTTCAGTGCAAAAAACCGCCTCCCCTAGACTTCAGTGCAAAAAAAGCCTCCCCTAGACTTCAGCGCAAAAAACCGCCCTCCCTTAGACTTCAGCGTAAAAAAACGCCTCCCTTAGTCTTCCGCGCAAAAAAACGCCTCTCCTAGACTTCCGCGCAAAAACCGCCTCCCCTAGACTTCCACGCAAAAAACCGCCTCTCCCTAGACTTCCGCGCAAAAAAACCGCCTCCCCTAGACTTCCGCGCAAAAAACCGCCTCCCCTAGACTTCCGCGCAAAAAAAACCGCCTCCCCCTAGACTTGCCGCGCACTTCCGTAGACTTCCGCGCAAAAAATTGTGCTGCGCTGCTGCCCGATTTCTTCCACACAGCCCACTACAATGCCAGCCTCTGCCCCCCTGCACGCTATGTCTCCCGGGCTCCGCTTGCCCATCTGCAGGACCAGGACTGGTTCGGCTGGTATAGGGGAGGGAGGAAAGCGGAAACGTCTGCTCCCTCCCCCTTCTTGTCCTGAGCCAAAAGTAACGTTATGATATCGCTTTCGGGTCCTCGTTTTCAGATTTCCAAGAAAGTATGTAATGCAGTGCGATGTGCCCTGCATTATATCCAGTGGACTACGGGGGAAACTTCCAGAGTTTTTTAGACCCCTTGATGTCTCAATAAAGAAAACCTGTCACCAAAAATCAGCAAGACAAAAAAAAAAAAAAAAAAAAACAGTTAAATGATAAGTTTGCCTTTGCAGGTAAAAAAAAATTACCCTTTATTATTTTTGTCCAAAGGAGCCTGGAAAGCATTGCACCCACAATCAGTTGATCGATAATGCCATGCAGGTCTCCTGCAGACCTGTCAGAATATCTGCTTGCCATATGGGATGTACGAGCAAGCAGATATTCTGACAGGAAGCTTCATTAACCCCTTCACACGCGGCCGCATGCAAATGTGCGGTCTCCTGGCATCTGGGCCTATACGCGCGAGCGGCCCGCACATTTGCGTTCATGTAACAAAAAACATATGTGCTGAGAGTGTGCACCCTGCGTGCTCCCAGCACACGTGTGGTACTCACGGAAAGGACCCCGGGCCGCTCTTTCGATCGGGACCTTTCCCAATCATGGTGACCGGCCGTGACGTTACGTCATGGCGGCCACATTACACTAAGCCCCGCCCTCCTCCCCGGCGCAGGAACTCCCTCTTCACGCCGGGACGATCCGGCGTGAAGGGTTTTAAACTATCCCGGCCCTCCACAGCGCCATGGTAGTTCATTAAAAACTACAAACCGACAGCCGTTAAGGCTGCCTGGAACTTTCAGTTCATTCATTCACGGCAAACCGTGAATGAATTATGCGGCCCATGTGGGTGGAGCCACGCACAACTGTGCTGTTTTCAAATCTGACAGTACGGGGAGAAGTCTCCCTGTCCTGTCAGAGGGAAGGGGGTGGTGGGCTGTGTGGCTATGGGAACATTGTTACATGTGCCACCCTAAAAAAACATGTAGAAAACCCCCCCACCCCCCGACAACACACACCCCCCCACCCCCCCAAAACACCCACACACACCCCACACACACCCCCCACCCCACCACACCATCCACACACACACAACACACACACACACACACACACACCACACACCCACACACCCACACACATAACACTACCACACCCACACACACACCCACCAACACCCCAACACACACACACCACCCCACACACACACACCCAACCACACACACCCACACACACACACCCACACACACACCCACACACACACACACACCCCCACACACACACACCCCCACACACACACACCCCCACACACACCACCCCACACACCCCACCACACCACCACAACCCCCACACCCACCACACACCACCCCCACACCCACACCACACACCCCCACACCCCCCCCCCCACACACACACACACCCCACACACACACACCCACCCCCACACACACACACCCCACTCACACACCCACCCCCCCACACACCCCACCCCCCCCCCACCACAACACACACCCCCAACTACACAACCCACACACACACACCCCCCCACACACACACCCCCCACACCCCCCCACACCACACACAACACTCCCACACCCACACACACCACACCCCCCCCACACACACCACCCCACGACACCCTCACACAACACACACCACTCCACACACACCACACACACACACACACAACCCACCCGCCCCTACACACCCCCACCCACACACCCACACCGCCCACACACACCCCCACACCCCCCAACACCCCACCCACCACACCACTCACACCCACACACACACCCCCGACTACACACACACCCCCCACACACACACAACCCCCCACCACCCCCCCCCCACACACACACACCCACACCCCCCACTCACACCCACCACCCACCAACAACACACCCCACCCCCACACACACACCCCCCCCCCCAAAAAGTTGGTAATTTATTCTTTTGTGTGCCCTAAAATTACCTTGAGTGTATTTTTTACTGAAATGTTGAGTTTTTCCTAGACCTTTGTGGTAAATATTGTGTAACATACAAAATTGGAACTACCACTATTTTATTCTCTAGGGTCTCTCGATTCAAAAACAATATAATGTTCGGGGGTTTTGTGTCATCTTCAGGCCCAAAATGATTTTTAAAACGTGTGTAAAATCGCAAAAATGGCTCTGGCAGCAAAAGGGATAAAGGATGAGCCGGACACTACCCCCCCTTTTCCTGAGGAGCAGCCAATCGGATTGCTTGTTACTCTGCAAGGTCTCTCTCCTCCCTGCTAGTCCCTGGGTGCGGTGCTGGAGACAGGCAGGGAGGGGTGGAGAGTTAAACCGCATCATTTTAAAAACATTAAACGTTTAAGTCGTCATAAAGCCCCTTTTGTTTCTAAAAGCACCGCAGATGTATATACGGTTTTGGGTAAAAAATTTTATATATATCATTTTTTTTTTTTTTTTTTTTTTTTATCTGGACAAGTAGATTTCACATGAGGGACAAGTAGATTGAGACATCGATTTAGTTCTTGGACAATACGTTTTTTCAAAAAATGTCCACACTCCTGGGGGTAGAGTTGGCCATGGACCTTACATAGTGGTTCACACGTAGTCCAGTTGTTGAGGGATATTCCAGCATGTGTACAGGACTGTACGTCAGGTGGTTGTTGGCTGCGTTTGAGCTTGAAGTGTGGTTGGGCATGGACCTCTGAGGATAAGATGGAGGTTCAGATCATATTCTAACTGTTGAAGGATGTTCTTGTCTGTGTACAGGACTTTGTCAGGTTGTTTCTAGTAGTCTCCCAGACCAAACAACAGACTTTTTAGAGCAGCCTTTCCCAACCTTTTTAACACAGAGGAACCCTTGCAATACCTCTCTATGCTCAGGAAACCCCTGCTAAAAATGACAAATATTAAAACGTTCACAGTACATGTGTGATGGTCACTTAGAAAAATTCTTCTTCTTATTTGTGTTCATTGGGAGACTCCCCCCTACAGATAGTTAAAAAGATCGTTGTTCATGGTGGTCATCTGAGAGGCAGAAGTTGTTCATTGCCCAAGGACCCCCTAGCAACCCTGATGGAATCTTAGGTTTCCACGTCGGAACCTGGTTAAGAAAGGCTGCTTTAGAAGATGAATTAAAGTTCAGACATCGAACAGTTGAGGATGTTGTTTCTCTGTGTACACGGGCTTTGTCAGGTGTTTGGTTGTGTCTCAAACATGGTTGGACATGACCTGAGGCATATGACTGGATTATCGATCTGATCCTCATCTAAGGCAGTGGTTCTCAACCTTACCTAATGCCGCGACCCTTTAATACAGTTCCTCATGTTGGGTGACCCCCAACCATAAAAATTATTTTTGTTGCTACTTCATGACTGCTGCAGCTCTTCTCATTCCCGCCATACAAGGTGTCACACCTCCCCCATCCCCAACACACAGAGCTGCCAGCTCTCTTCACACACGGCCCGCTCTCACCTCCTCACTGACGCCATCTTGGATCCACTCTCCCCCCTCCTCCACCCAGTCCCCATCTAGCCGGCTCCATGACAGAGGCCACGCCCAATCTGAGGACATCAAAACTTCTTCACTGGCGCTTCCCGTTGACACGTCACCTCGTCTGGTTGGTCAAGTTCTAGTCCGCCCTGCATTTAGAGCTGGGGATGATGTCACCGCTCAGCGTTGATTGGGGGAGCAGTGCAGACAATGGGTGGGGTGGGAGATGATAGGCTGTGGCAGAGGGGTCAGATCTCATCACTGCTGACTGTTCTCTTACTCGTATGTGGGCATATCTGCAGGGGGGCGGACCCACCAGGAAATAGAGGAGCGGTGTCTCGGTTCCTAAGACCATCGGAAATGTTTTTTCTGATGGTCTTAGGCAACCCCTGTGAAAGGGTCGTTCGACCCCCAAAGGGGTCGTGACCCACAGGTTGAGAACCGCTGGTCTAAGGTCTATGTCCAACCATGTTTAAGACACAAACACCTACCATAAAGTCCTCTACACAGGGCAGGAAACATCCCTCAACAGCTAGACCTTTGATGAACAGAGGTCCATGCATAATTGTCAGGGCTCCCGGGTATGACCAGAGGTCTGTGACTGACGCAGGGAAACGCAGACTTCAGATATGTTATAAACAATGTAATTTATTAACACTAACCATACAAACATAAACGCAGTGCAATACTAAAACATAACACAGTGCAAACAAACCAACCAACCCACAGATAACAGTACATACAATGCAAGCGTCGTCAGGCAGGCCGGGTCAATATCAGTCGGGCAGGTAGGTACAGGGGAGCAAGCGGAGAATGGTCGGGGTCACAGGCCAGGTTTCAGCAGGTAGCGGGCAGCGTGGTACAGAGGGTCAGGCAGAGGAGAATGGTCAGACAAGCCAGGGATCAGAGCAGGGTCAGCAGAGAATCAGACAGGAACAGAGAGCAGGAACAGGATACAGGGCCCAAGAGAAACACAACACCAAGGCCGAGTCTGCAGGTCTGAATGTCCCTTAAATACATCAGTATAATTAGTTCCAGGTCTTTGACTGGCTGCAAGGTTGAGTCTCTGATTGCTGGGAGCACCCGCTGGCCAGCCTGGTACTGCAGCTCACAAGGCAGGTGAGTCCCACTATTGCTGGCCAGTCCATTCCTGACAATAATCCAACGGTTGAGGGATGTTCCTGCCAGTGTGCAGGACTGTATGTCAGATGGTTGCTGGTGGGTATCAGGCTGAGGCAAGGTTGGACATGGATTATGCCAGATCCTCCATCTGTCTGAGACACAACCATTGACATACAGTCCTGCAGGCTGGCAGGAACATCCCGTTAGATTCTGCATGGACCTCTGTTCATCAAAGGTCTAGCTGTTGAGGGATGTTCCTGCCTGTGTAGAGGGCTTTATGGCAGGTGTGTGTGTTGGTTGTGACTCGACTGAGGTATAGTTGGACATAGACCTTAGGCGGACAAAGGTTCAGGCGTAATGTAACTGTTGAGGGATGTTTTTGGGTAAACTTGCACTTTTAGGTTGTCTGCTCTTATGTCTCTGTATGTGGAGCAAGAAGAAGGAAGAGCAAGCAGACAGCTTTATCATTGGCTCATCTGAGCAGAAATGAATGTCTCCTATAACTAAACCTTCCCCCTGGCCATCCAGCTGTGACTACCCACAGATCTGAAATGTGTATGGCCTTATGTGAATGACATTGTATGTGTCTTTAGCCAGTTTTAGAAAAGTTTTCAGTTCTATACGCCCAGGGCAGAGATTGTAGTAACATGTGAATAAACACTTACAGGTCCTCTGGAGGTCCACTGGCCGCACCTACTGGGTCCACTGGCACATGGTTCAGATACTTGCAGAGCAGGCTGATGAAGATTGCGCAGACAGAGCTTCAACTATGGCTGAAAGTGTGAAGGTGTCACCAGGTGAGCGAGGAGGATGCAATGGGTGACCTGCATCTTCTGGAATGGGGAGAAGCGGATAACCAGATATGATTGTTATCGTTTGCTGTATCTTTGAAGTTTTTAGAGAGTAAAACCAGGGAGTGGTCCCTCTGCTGAATGGTGCACTGTTCTATCACATCCACCAATTCATTTTGTGTGTCTTGCTGTTTCTTTTCAGTGGCCCAGTATTTTCCGTGTAAGCCATGTGGCACCATGTACTCCCTACCATATCTTGGCATTGTAGCCTTCGAGGAGAGAGGAATCCTGAGGCAGGATGAGTGGTGGGAGGTCCTCTTCTTTATTCGAAGGCTGGAGATTCAGGAGCAGAATGAGGTCTACAAAATGATAAGACATAACTTGGAGGAGGTGAGTGAGGAGCTGACTGCCACTTTGCAGGAATGCTGGGCCACTTTGCAGAGAATGCTGGAAAGTGCTGTAAATTCTAATCTTATTCACAAAATGAGAAAAATGTTATATGCATTACACACCATGCTGAGGGATGAAACCATATACAAACGTGTCAGCCAACCCAACCTATAACTGGCCTTTGCAGCAAGGCGCACACGGAAAGGCAAAGCACATCACAAACAAGCAATTTCCCCGCACGCTTACCAGCCTGCAAATCAATCGAATTAACCAAGTAAAACCATGTACGTTAAAAGCGGAGGGTTTTGTTTGCACACATTTGCAAATATATGCGTAAACCACAGTCAAGGGACCTTTATATATATTTTTATAAATTTACTGTATTTGTCCTGTTTACCATTTGAAAGTAAAAGAAAATCCCAAATTTTAGGTTGTCCCCAGAAAAGTAATAGAAGGGAAATCTTCCGATGGAGACACTAGTTCTGGGGACTTGGAGGTCCCCATGGAATTCCCTTAATTTGCAGGAATTTCCTCTCACTTCCTGTTTGACTATGGGACAGGAAGGGAAATCTCTGCAGTGGGACCCAGATGATGAGAAAAATCTGACAGGGTTTATAACTAGGGATTCATCGAAATTTCGGCCACCAAAACATATAGGCCGAAAATAGCCCTATCGGCATTTAGCCGACACGGGGACTGTGTGTACTGCAGATGTGAGGGATGGCTGAGAAAGGCAGGACAGGAGCAGTGTATACAGTGACTGGCTGTCACTATACAGGTGAAACTCGAACAATGAGAATATGGTGCAAAAGTTAATTTATTTCAGTGCAGCAACTTAAAAGGTGAAACTAATATATGAGACTCATTACATGCAAAGCAAGATAGTTCAAGCCGTGATTTGTCATCATTGTGATGATTATGGCTTACAGCTCATGAAAACCCCAAATCCACAATCTCAGAAAATGAGAATATTCCATGCAATCAATAAAACAAGGATTGTACATAGAACAATATCAGACCTCTGAAAAGTAGAAGCATACATATGTACTCAGTACTTGGTTTGGGCCCCTTTTGCAGCAATTACTGCCTCAATGCGGCGTGGCATGGAAGCTATCAGCCTGTGGCACTGCTGAGGTGTTATGGAAGACCAGGATGCTTCAGTAGCGGCCTTCATCTCTTCTGCATTGTTCGGTCTCATGTCTCATCTTTCTCTTGGCAATGCCCCATAGATTTTCTATGGGGTTCAGGTCAGGCGAGTTTGCTGGCCAATCAAGCACAGTAATCCCACGGTCATTGATCCAGGTTTTGGTGCTTTTGACATTGTGGACAGGTGCCAAGTCCTGCTGGAAAATGAACTCAGCATCCCCATAAAGCTCGTCTGCGGAAGGAAGCATGAAGTGCTCCAAAATCTTTTGGTAGACGGCTGCGTTGACCCTGGACTTAATGAAGCACAGTGGACCAACACCAGCAGATGACATGGCTCCCCAAATCAACACAGACTGTGGAAACTTCACACTGGACTTCAAGCATCTTGCAGTGTGTGCCTCTCCATTCTTCCTCCATACTCGGGGTCCTTGGGCCTCTCAATTCTTCCTCCATTCTTGGGGTCCTTGGGCCTCTCCATTCTTCCTCCATACTCGGGGTCCTTGTGCCTCTCCATTCTTCCTCCATACTCGGGGTCCTTGTGCCTCTCCATTCTTCCTCCATACTCGGGGTTCTTGTGCCTCTCCATTCTTCCTCCATACTCGGGGTCCTTGTGCCTCTCCATTCTTCCCCCATACTCGGGGTCCTTGTGCCTCTCCATTCTTCCCCCATACTCGGGGTCCTTGTGCCTCTCCATTCTTCCTCCATACTCGGGGTCCTTGTGCCTCTCCATTCTTCCTCCATACTCGGGGTCCTTGGGCCTCTCCATTCTTCCTCCATACTCGGGGTCCTTGGGCCTCTCCATTCTTCCTCCATACTCGGGGTCCTTGGGCCTCTCCATTCTTCCTCCATACTCTGGGTCCGTGGGCCTCTCCATTCTTCCTCTATACTCGGGGTCCTTGTGCCTCTCCATTCTTCCTCCATACTCGGGGTCCTTGGGCCTCTCCATTCTTCCTCCATACTCGGGGTCCTTGGGCCTCTCCATTCTTCCTCCATACTCGGGGTCCTTGGGCCTCTCCATTCTTCCTCCATACTCGGGGTCCTTGGGCCTCTCCATTCTTCCTCCATACTCGGGGTCCTTGGGCCTCTCCATTCTTCCTCCATACTCGGGGTCCTTGGGCCTCTCCATTCTTCCTCCATACTCGGGGTCCTTGGGCCTCTCCATTCTTCCTCCATACTCGGGGTCCTTGGTTTCCAAATGAGATGCAAAAGTTGCTCTCATCAGAAAAGAGGACTTTGGACCACTGAGCAACAGACCAGGTCTGTTTTTCTTTAGCCCAGGTAAGACGCTTCTGACGTTTTTTTGTTCAGGAGCGGCTTGACAAGAGGAATACGACATTTGAAGTCCATGTCCAGGATCCATCTGTGTGTGGTGGTTCTTGATGCACTGACTCCAGCCTCAGTCCACTCCTTGTGAAAGTCCCCAACACTTTTGAACGGCCTTTTCCTGACAATCCTCTCCAGGCTGCGGTCATCCCTGCTGCTTGTGCACCTTTTTCTTCCACACTTTTCCCTTCCACATAACTTTCTATTAATGTGCTTTGATACAGCACTTTGGGAACATCCAACTTCTTTTGCAATTACCTTTTAAGGCTTTCCCTCCTTATGGAGGGAGTCAATGATGGTGTCAGGTCAGCAGTCTTTCCCATGATTGTGATTCCTACTGAACCAGACTGAGAGACCATTTGAAGGCTCAGGAACCCTTTGCAGGTGTTATGGGTTAATTAGCTGATTAGAGTGGGACAATTTGAGCCGAGATTATTCCATCTTTTCACAATATTCTCATTTTCTGAGATTGTGGATTTGGGGTTTTCATGAGCTGTAAGCCATAATCATCACAATGATGACAAATCACGGCTTGAACTATCTTGCTTTGCATGTAATGAGTCTCATATATTAGTTTCACCTTTTAAGTTGCATTACAAAAATAAATGAACTTTTGCACGATGTTCTAATTTTTCGTGTTTCACCTGTATGTCAGTGCCGGTTTTTAAATGTAATTACCGGCTTTTTTTTTTTTTTTCTAATAAGCTAAAGCTCACAGAATTAGCTGTCACTTTCCCCCCAGCTAAAAGAAATAAAAGTTTCCTTTTTCGTTTCTTTTCCCGAGTTAAAAGAAACAGTTTCCTTTAGTTTCAGGGAACTGCTCACTCACTGTATACACTGCTGCTCTCCTTGCACACACTGGCCCCCATCCCCTCCCCCCTACAAAGAGGACCTGTCACTCATATGCTATCACCTAGGGGACTATTGGTCCCCTATGTGATCGCAATAAAATCAGAAGTTAAAAAAAAAAAAAAAAATATATATATATATATATATATATATATATATATAAGCAAAAAAATTGGAGCCTCCCCACCCCTACATACGCAGACATTTCAGTCTCGGTTAGTTTTTTGGTTACATGCATTCTGAATTTTCGGTCTCGGTACCACAATTGTCATTTCGGTACACCACTATATATAACCCTCTCTTGCTCTATCCAAATTGGAAAATAAAAGGGTTTTTTTTCTTTTTTTTTTTTTTGTTAGCCCTGCTTGGTCCTATAGGATGGGTAGTTTTTAAATTTATCCTTCAGCCCTGCTGCGGGCAAGCAGCGGGCTCAGCTGTAAGGTGGAAGCATTCGGGCGGCAGCGTTGTTGCCGATTTGGTTCCACACAGTGCCAGCCTCCACCCACTGTCTCCCCGGCTCCACTTGCCCATCTGCGGGCCCGGGACCGGCTCACCACCGTCGGCTAGCGGGGAGAGAAGAAATGGACATATCCGCTCCCCTTCTTGTCCTGCCCACGGAAGTGACGTTATGATGTCACTTCCGGGTCCCTGTTCAAAGATTTCCCGGCCATCGAGGCTGGGAAACAATGTAATGCAGTGTGGTGTGCGCTCCATTACATTCAGGGGAAGGCATCCAGGGTCTTTTAGACCTTGGATGTCTCAATAAAGAGAACCTGTCACCAAAAATCATCACACAGGGTACTTTTGTCACGTGAGATGAAAAAAAAAAAAAAAAATTAGTAAGGCTACGTTCACACTAGCCTTGTGTGCAGGCGGCAGAGAGGCGTTTGGGAAGCGTTTTTACCTCTTCCCAAACGCCTCTGCCAATTCTGCACATTACAGCACATGGTGCTGTTCTAACGGGAGCGTTTGCGTCGCGGCAAAACGGACGCCTCTGGACGAGTCAGGAGGCTTTGAAGCCTCCTATTCTCGTCTATGGTGCCGCTCCGCAAACGCCCGGCCGGCGTTTGCGGTGCGGTTGCGACGCGGTTGCGGGGCGTTTGCGGAGCGGTAACACCACTCAAACTGCATTATAGGCATTTGTGGGGCGTTATTAACGCTCGGCAAACGCCTAGCAACCGCCGCTAAACCGCGCATGCGGCGTTTGCGGAGAGTTTGCCGAGCGTTAAAAAACGCTCCGCAAACGCCGGACCAACGCTTGCCAAACGCTATAGGGGCGTTTGGCAAGCGTTGGCAAAACAGCCTAGTGTGAACGAGCCCTTAAAGAGGTTTTTTCCCAAGTCATCTTCCAGGACAACTTCATGTGAGCTATGCTGTCCTGGAAGATTACTGGAAATACAGTTAACAGGTAAATAACTGCGATTTTTTTTTTTTTTTTTTTTTTTTTTTTTTTAAATTGTAAAACATCAAAGTTACTCCCAAGCACAAAACATCCCCCCCAAAAAAACAAAATTGAGGCCTCCCCCCACATATATGCACGTACAAATGTAAAAGCACACGCTGGGGCGCCTACGCATGAAAATATTGTTTGCAATGCACGTTACATATCGCTGCACACGCCAGAATGAGAGCAATAGTTCATGCATGTGATCTCCTCCGTAACGTAGTCCCCTATTGGTGCCCTATGTGATAGCAATAAAATCATAAGTTAAAAAAAAAAAAAATAATATATATATATATCTATATATATATATATATATTACACACACACACATACATATACATGAAAGTAGAAAAAATACAAAAAAAAATTGAAGCCTCCCCACCCCCCCATACATTTTGGTTCGGTTTTCGGCCACATGCATTCTGAATTTTCGGTATCGGTTTCGGCACCAGAATTTTCATTTTGGTTTACCAAAATGTTTTGTGAAGTCACAAACCACAATGAAATTTGAGGTCCAAATCACACTGATCTCTGGCTTTGAATTGACACTGAAGTGTCGCAATTTCAAAGCGGCGCAGTGCAGCTTTTATATTGCTCTACTTCCGCTCGATTGCAAAGCCACAGATCAGTGCTTCAAAATCCAGCTACTTCAGTGTGATTTCAGATCCAGAGATCATTGCGATTTGGACTTCCAATTCCGTTGCCGCTTTCAGCTTTATTTAACAGAAGTCAATGCAAGTTGCAATGAAATCACACAATTGGGGTGCGACTTGGTGTGCAATTTTGAACTGTCAAATTGCTCTGGTGTGGTGTGAACTGTAAAAATAAATAAATGCATCCAAGGGCAAAATAGGTTTTGGTAATTGATATCAGCAGTACTTGAGAAAAAGCATCGATATGCTTACTTTGTTATAAAAAACTGGTACCAGTGCATCCCTAAAGCAAGGACTCTTTGGGGGGAAATTTATTAAAAATTGTGCACTCATCTGTGCATGGCCAATCGGCTTTTAACTTCAGTTCATTTAGTTAAGTGTTACTAAACCCAGGATTCTGGGTCTCCTCGGACCCTGCATTCACTATATCTGGTCTCCCCGGACCCTGCATTCACTATATCTGCTCTCCCCGGACCCTGCATTCACTATATCTGCTCTCCCCGGACCCTGCATTCACTATATCTGCTCTCCCCGGACCCTGCATTCACTATATCTGCTCTCCCCGGACCCCTGCATTCACTATATCTGCTCTCCCCGGACCCTGCATTCACTATATCTGCTCTCCCCGGACCCTGCATTCACTATATCTGCTCTCCCCGGACCCTGCATTCACTATATCTGCTCTCCCCGGACCCTGCATTCACTATATATATCTGCTCTCCCCGGACCCTGCATTCACTATATCTGGTCTCCCCGGACCCTGCATTCCCTATATCTGGTCTTCCCGTGACCCTGCATTCACTATATCCGCTCTCCCCGGACCCTGCATTCACTATATCCGCTCTCCCCGGACCCTGCATTCACTATATCCGCTCTCCCCGGACCCTGCATTCACTATATCCGCTCTCCCCGGACCCTGCATTCACTATATCTGGTCTCCCACAGTACACAAAACATGGAAATGCAATTATTTTAGTAAATATAAACTGCTCAATAAATTTTCTCATCAGCAGTATATAGCAGTCTTGTGACTTCTATCAGTGTCCAGCAGAGCACTGGTTAAAGCTTGTAGGAAGAGTTTTCATTTTCCCCTATGAGGCTGCAGAAGCCCTGACCCTCTGTCTGGACAGTGCTGATTGGCCTTCTACTGATCACATTCACTGCCCACCAAAATGAGCATGTGCAGCTGGTCTCCAAGCCTCTGTTCTATCAGGAGTTATATTGGGAACAGTAGAAGTGGAGGATCAGAGAAGACAGGATCAAACAGCCTTTTTAAACAGTGCGGAGGATTAACCCCTTAGGTTCCACAGTGAGTATAACATGCATGCTGTACTGCATCTACAGACTGATTGTACTGTTGGGGGTTTGGTAACACTTTAAGTTTTGACAATACATCCTGGAAGCTGATTGTTTTCTGTGCAGGATTTTTCACTCTCCAGTTTTAGCAAATCCCTCCCATTTTGTGTCCTCATTTCTGTCAGTCTTGGGTAGAGCAGTCCGTAGACTTCTTAATAAGGCAGGTCCTCCTCTCTATCAGTTTCTGGTTCTCTCTGTATATTGGGGTCTAGCATGGGTCTCTCTGACTCCTCTCTCTTCTCTCCCCCCCCCCCCCCCCCCCCCCCCCCCCCAGCTGCATGGCGCAGATGAAGCATCCCTCATAAAGGCCTCCGTTTCAGTAGATCTTGCCCAGAAGATTATGGAATTTCTCCGGGAACATTTCCACGGCTCTAACCTAAAAGACTTGCAGAGTTCTCATGTCTATCTAAAATATCTACACCGTCCCAGCACAGTAGCCAGGCTGACATCCTGTTCCAGTTCCTCCGCACAGGATAACTCCGTGTCTGGTGTCGCGGTTTCCAAAAAAACAAAGAGTGACGAAACTAAAAAAGCTAACAAGGCTGAAGCTGGTCCTTCAGAGCCCACGGACCTCCAGGTCCTCCGCAGACTTCTCTCTCTGGAAGGAATTCCACTCAGCCTTACAGCTGAGGATAAGAGCAAAGGTGAGGAGATGATGGGAACGGGGGTCATTCAAAGGGGGGCGGGGGCAGAGAACTGGGGCAGCCAATGAAACACAGAGATGACAGAGGTGGGTGCAGTTAGGATCTGTACTCCCAGACACTATGCTACGTTATTTAGTAATGCTGTATAATAAAGTAATGTCTGCTTTAAGATAAATATTTTTGTAATGACATACTGTGCATATATGTCCTTGTTTAACCCCAACTACTCCTGAAACGGCCCCCTTCCCCTCCTAACACCTGGGCTTACTAACCTGTGTAAGAAAGATGTACAGTTGTGTTCAAAATAATATCCGTCAGACATCACTAACCGGATCAATCACTGTTTTTGGTAGAAATGATATTTCTACATGGCAAATAATTTCCTAGCAGGTGTAGTAGAGTCATAGAAATCCAACAGACCCAACAGTCATGACATGCATGCTGCTGATTCTGTGTCATTGAATCACTCATTGAAAGGGGCGTGTTCAAAATAATAGCAGTGTGGAGTTCTATTAGTGAGGTCATTCATTCTTTGAAAAACAGGTGGCAATTATTGCCCTTATTTAAGGAAGGAAGGCAGCAAATGTTGTACATGCTGGTTACAGTGCATTTCTCTCTGAAATTCTGAGGAAAATGGGTCGTTCCAGACATTGTTCAGAAGAACAGCGTATCTTGATTAAAAAGTTGATTGGAGAGGGGAAAACATATAAAGAAGTGCAGAAAATGATCGGCTGCTCAGCTAAAATGATGGCAAATGCTTTAAAATGGCAACCAAAACCTGAAAGACGTGGAAGAAAGCGAAAAACTACCATTGGAATGGATAGAAGAATAGCCAAAATGGCGCGGACTCAGCCAACAATCAGCTCCAGGAAGATGAAAGAAGGTGTGACGTTCCCTGTGAGGACTGTTACAATTAGAAGATGCCTATGTGAAGCCAAGCTATCTGCAAGAAGCCCCCGCAAAGTCCCACTGTTGGAAAAAAGACGTGTGCTGAAGAGGTTACAATCTGCCAAAGAGCACATTGACCGGCCTAAAGAGAAATGGCGCAACATTTTGTGGGCTGATGGAAGTAAGATTGTTCTTTTTGGGTCTAGTGGCCGGAGACAGTTTGTCAGACGACCCCCAAACACTGAATTCAAGCCACAGTACACTGTGAAGACAGTGAAGCATGGTTGGTGCAAGCATCATGATATGGGGATGTTTCTCATACTACGGTGTTGGGCCTATTTATCGCATACCAGGGATCATGGATCAGTTTGAATCCATCAGAATACTTGAAGAGGTCATGCTGCCTTATGCTGAAGAGGAAATGCCATTGAAATGGGTGTTCCAACAAGACAATGACCCCAAACACACCAGTAAACGTGCAACATCTTGGTTCCAGACCAACAAGATGGACATTATGGAGTGGCCAGCCCAATCCCCGGATCTTAATCCAATAGAAAACTTGTGGGGTGACATCAAAAATGCAGTTTCTGAGGCAAAACCAAGAAATAAAGAAACTGTGGAATGTGGTCCAATCATCCTGGGCTGGAATACCTGATCACAGGGGCCAGAAGTTGGGGGACTCCATGCAACACAGATGTACAGCAGTTCTCAGAAACAGTGCGACTACAACCAAATATTCATGAAGTCATTCAAAGGAAAGCAAAATCTTCAAACATTTCTCAGTTTATATAGTGAATGTTTGAGTTTGTAAAGAAGAATAAAAACACTGATATTTTTTTGAACGTCTAATATTCAATTTTCTTCCATTTTTTTAGAGGAACAACACAAATTTGATGTATTTTTCTTCATGTTTGTGATTTGGAATAGAATGTGTCGTGTTCCCAATGCATTTTTGTGGATGGAAATAAAAGCTATTAGAAGGATTTTCAGCTTTATTCATTTTTTTCAACATACTGCTATTATTTTGAACACAATTGTATATATTTACCTATTTTCAAGCCAGCTCCGGTCTGGTCACATGATTTCCCCTTTGTCAGCCAGCAGTGGCTGCCAGTGAGAGGATAGAGCGATCCAACAATGGCTGGTGGAGTCTGGAGCAGTGATGTCACCCATAGGCTTCAAAGGCCAATCTGTTGTCAGCGTTTCCTCCTCTGTCCTGCGGCAGCACTAATGCAAAGAACACCACAAAGGGGCACCACCATCTAATTGTAGATATAATGGTAAACAAAAGGTTAAAATCAATATTGCATTAAGTTTATTAGAGTGAAACTTGCCATACTGCTCAGGGAACACATCCTAGAACCGTCGTATCAGTAGAGTTCAGCAGGCAAGCAGCTGGTCAATGCAAAGTCAGCTGGAAGCTGCAGAGTTTGGCAGGCAAGTGGCTGGTTAATGCAGAGTTAAGCTGGGAAGCTGCTAGTAAGAGCCTGCCCCGCAATTCACTATATCCGCTCTCCCCGGACCCTGCATTTACTATATCCGCTCTCCCCGGACCCTGCATTCACTATATCCGCTCTCCCCCGGACCCTGCATTCACTATATCCGCTCTCCCCGAACCCTGCATTCACTATATCCGCTCTCCCCGGACCCTGCATTCACTATATCCGCTCTCCCCGGACCCTGCATTCACTATATCCGCTCTCCCCGGACCCTGCATTCACTATATCCGCTCTCCCCGGACCCCGCATTTACTATATCCGCTCTCCCCGGACCCTGCATTCACTATATCCGCTCTCCCCGGACCCTGCATTCACTATATCCGCTCTCCCCGGACCCCGCATTCACTATATCCGCTCTCACCGGACCCTGCAATCACTATATCCGCTCTCCCCGGACCCTGCAATCACTATATCCAGTCTCCCTGGACCCCGCATTTACTATATCCGCTCTCCCCGGACCCTGCATTCACTATATCCGGTCTCCCCGGACCCTGCATTCACTATATCCGGTCTCCCCGGACCCTGCATTCACTATATCCGCTCTCCCCGGACCCTGCATTCACTATATCCGCTCTCCCCGGACCCTGCATTCACTATATCCGCTCTCCCCGGACCCTGCAGTCACTATATCCGCTCTACCCAGACCCTGAATTCACTAACCATCAGTAAATTATTACTCCAGTGTGCAGGTGGTCTCTCAGGACCCTACATTCACTATATCTGGCATCCCACAGTATACAGAACATGGAAATGCAATTATTTTAGTAAACATAAACTGGAAAATACCTTTTCTCATCAGCAGTATAGAGCAGTCTTGTGACTTCTGTCAGTGTCCAGCAGAGCACTGGTTAAAGCTTGTAGGAGTTTTCATTCTCCTCTGACTGTTCTCTGAGGTTACACGACCTCTGACCCTCTGTCTGGACAGCGCTGATTGTCCCTGTGCTGATCACGTGTGTTGATCACATGCACCTTCCCAAAGAAGAAAAACTCTAGCAATACACACTAACCTGAGCATGTGCAGAGTGACTCCCAGAGCTCTCTACTATCCGCAGACGGATTGGGACAGTAGAAGGGGAGGATCAGAGAAGTCAGGATCAAACAGCCTTTCTACACAATGCAGAGGATTAGCTTTTTAGGTTCCACATTGAGTATAACAAGCATGCTTTACTGCATCTACAGACTGATTGTACTGTTGTGGACTTTAAAGACTTCCTGTGTCCCTCAATGGACTCCAAGAAAAGGATATTTTTAGAGCAAGGGTACTAAATACAAATTCATGGAGGTCCATTCAGTAAAATTTTCTTCCAGCCGAGGTCCACGTATCACAGCCCCCCTCCCCTTGTATCACAATCCTGTTCTTACATCAGTATCCTCAGTCCCTGTGCATATCACAATCCCCCCTTTATATCACAGTTTGCCCTTTGCTGTGGGGGGATGTTGGGGGTGATGTGAAGGGGGGAAGGAGAACACTGTGGTGTCCCCTGCCTCCTTTTTCATGTCCCCACCACAGCCATGTCCTCCACCCCTTTAAATGGTAGTATTGTGTATATACAGTTTGTCCATGTCCTCTGACGGTCACATGCACTGCCTACCAAAATGAGCATGTGCAGCTGGTCTCCAAACCTCTGTTCTATCAGGAGTTATATTGGGGACAGTAGAAGAAGGGGAGGATCAGAGACAACAGGATCAAACAGCCTTTTTACACAATGCGGAGGATTAACCCCTTAGGTCCCACAGTGAGTATAACAAGCATGCTTTACTGCATCTACAGACTGTCCTCTACCCCTTTAAATGTAGTGTTGTGTATATACAGTTTGTCCATGTCCTCTGATGGTCCTTTTAGAGGGTATAATATCCTATTTTTCTGTGGTAAGCAGATAAGAAAGCAGAATCAATAACAGATAAACCGATTATTGTAGTTAGATTCGTCCATCTATGCCTCTACAGAGTGATGTTTGGAGACCTTGCTCAAATATCATTCATTCTCTTCTAGGAATTGGAACCTTCTGGGGCTCTTCACCCAGAGTTTGTCTGGAGTTGTTGACCGAGATGCTGGACAAGGTGAAACGGAGTGTTTGTGCGCCTGGGGCCCTGGGCTTCATTGTTCAGATCATGGAGCAACAGCTTGGTGAGGAAGCTCATGGTATCAAGATGGAGGGGCGGACATCATGCAGGTACTTACTAGAAGACCATATCTGGTCTAACGTATGGAACGCCTCTCACTTTTTCTCCAACACACGAGATCGGAAGGCGAAAGCAGATTACACTTTGTATGCCTTTTTGGTTTTTTTTGGGTTTTTTTCTGTCGCTAATAAATATTGTGATATTTAGGGACAAGATTGTAAAGCTGCTGGTGGAACTTCTGACATCGCATCCCAAGGACAAGGTGTTGGTGTTGATGTGTCTGCAGTTGACGTACCTGGTCATGTGCAAGTATGACTGGCGTGTCCTCTTTGCAACAGAGGGAGGGGTGAGAGCTGTGCTGGGGTGTATGCAGGAACATAACTCCTCTGCTGCCATCCAGCATATAGGGCTTGTGGTAAGTGAAGCACTAATAGTCCGACCTACACATATCAATAGTGTCTGCTGTCTCCTCCATCTGATAACATCATTACTCCTGGCAGGTCCTGAAGGTGCTGACTGGTGTGGACGGTTCTGATCCTCCAGGATCTTCCAAATGTAACAATCTAAATCCAGGGGATGCTCAGGTGATAAAAGAGATCTTCTCCAGTATTGGATCTGCAGCCAGTGGCACCTCCAGCAGCCTCTTGAGGGCCATCCCTGGTGCCATTGCCAAGATGATAAGTGCGGAGGGGTGAGGATGAGACTTAATATATGTCAAATATTGTGTTGTAACTACGTCTGGACCGCAAAATACATATATGTATGTCGGCGGTTTGGAAGCTTATCCCGGGCCGATTCAGCCGGCTTACCATAGAGCTGATCAGGGACCGGAACGTCCCCGATTATCTCTATGGTATCCGAAATCGTTTTTGGTTTACCAGCCAATTGTCTAAGGGAAGAGGACCTGTCACTGCCTATTTCTATCACATGGGATGTATACATTCCTTGTAATAACAATAAAAGTGATGAAAAGATATAAAGGGGCAGATTAAAAAAATAAAATTCCAAAAAATTTTTAAAGTGCCCCTATCCCCCCCCCCCCCCCATCCCATGCTCATGCGCAAATGCCAACACATATGCAGGTCACACACACATATATGTAAACAGTGTTTACATCACACACGTGAGGTATCTTTGTGAATGTGTATAGTTTTTGTAACTCTAAACTGTAAAGGCTTTTCAAGCGCTGCCTCTGGAGATTAAGTACTGTAGTTTGTCACCATTTTACGAGCGTATGAATTTTTAAAGCATGACATGTTGGTTATCTGTTTACTTGGTGTAACATCACCTTATGTATTATACCAAACAATTGGGTATTTTTTGTGATTTTGTGCATTAAAATTCATTAACGTGTATTTTATAAAAAAAAAAAAAGTGTTTGAAAAACTGCTGTGCAAATACCATGTGACATAAATTGCCACACCCACCACCATTTATTCTCTAGGGCCCCTGCTTAAGAAAATATATAATGTTTGGGGAGTTCTAAGTAATTTTCTAGCTAAAAATACTGATTTTTAAATGTAAAAAAGGTGTCAGAATTGGCCTTGTCTTAAAGTGGGTAATTCTGTACATTTGGGCTGATGGCTTTCATTTAGTATGACCCTTCCTCTGTCCTGTGTGCAGCACTGGTCTCATTGTGACCCTTCCTCTGTCCTGTGTGCGGCACTGGTCTCATTGTGACCCTTCCTCTGTCCTGTGTGCGGCACTGGTCTCATTGTGACCCTTCCTCTGTCCTGTGTGCGGCACTGGTCTCATTGTGACCCTTCCTCTGTCCTGTGTGCGGCACTGGTCTCAGTGTGATCCTTCCTCTGTCCTGTGTGCGGCACTGGTCTCAGTGTTACCCTTCCTCGGTCCTGTGTGCGGCACTGGTCTCAGTATGACCTTTCCTCTGTCCGGTGTGCGGCACTGGTCTCATTGTGACCCTTCCTCTGTCCGGTGTGCGTCACTGGTCTCATTGTGACCCTTCCTCTGTCCTGTGTGCGGCACCCATTGTGACTTTTCTTCTGTCCTGTGTGCGGCACTGGTCTCATTGTGACCCTTCTTCTGTCCTGTGTGCGGCACTGATCTCAGTGTGATCCTCCCTCTGTCCTGTGTGCGGCACTGGTATCAGTGTGACCCTTCCTCTGTCCTGTGTGTGGCACTGGTCTCATTGTGACCCTTCCTCTGTACTGTGTGCGGCACTGGTCTCATTGTGACCCTTCCTCTGTCCTGTGTGCGGCACTGATCTCAATGTGATCCTTCCTCTGTCCTGTGTGCGGCACTGGTCTCATTGTGACCTTCCTCTGTCCTGTGTGCGGCACTGGTCTCATTGTGACCCTTCCTCTGTCCTGTGTGTGGCACTGGTCTCATTGTGACCCTTCCTCTGTCCTGTGTGTGGCACTGGTCTCATTGTGACCCTTCCTCTGTCCTGTGTGTGGCACTGGTCTCATTGTGACCCTTCCTCTGTCCTGTGTGCGGCACTGGTCTCCGTGTGATCCTTCCTCTGTCCTGTGTGCGGCACTGGTCTCATTGTGACCCTTCCTCTGTCCTGTGTTGGGCACTGGTCTCAGTATGACCCTTCCTCTGTCCTGTGTGCGGCACTGGTCTCAGTATGACCCTTCCTCTGTCCTGTGTGCGGCACTGGTCTCAGTATGACCCTTCCTCTGTCCTGTGTGCGGCACTGGTCTCAGTATGACCCTTCCTCTGTCCTGTGTGCGGCACTGGTCTCAGTATGACCCTTCCTCTGTCCTGTGTGCGGCACTGGTCTCAGTATGACCTTTCCTCTGTCCTCTGTGCGGCACTGATCTCATTGTGACCCTTCCTCTGTCCTGTGTGCGGCACTGGTCTCAGTATGACCCTTCCTCTGTCCTGTGTGCGGCACTGGTCTCAGTGTGACCCTTCCTCTGTCCTGTGTGCGGCACTGGTCTCATTGTGACCCTTCCTCTGTCCTGTGTTGGGCACTGGTCTCAGTGTGACCCTTCCTCTGTACTGTGTGCGGCACTGGTCTCAGTGTGACCCTTCCTCTGTCCTGTGTGCGGCACTGGTCTCAGTGTGATCCTTCCTCTGTCCTGTGTGCGGCACTGGTCTCATTGTGACCCTTCCTCTGTCCTGTGTGCGGCACTGGTCTCATTGTGACCCTTCCTCTGTCCTGTGTGCGGCACTGGTCTCATTGTGACCCTTCCTCTGTCCAGTGTACACTTTCTGTGTTAGTAGGATCCTTCCTCTGTTCTGTGTACCTCACCTGTATCCATTATTGCCCTTTCCTTGTTCTTTGTACTCCCGTTTCAGTATGACCCTTTATTTCTTTGTACAGATGGTTATGACCTCCCCTCTGTCTATTGTCTGGCAGGTGTTTCTCTTCTGTGCTCAATGGTTTCCTGGTCATCCGGATGCTTATGGAGAACCATAAGGGTTTATCTGAGCAGCTGTCCAGTTTGGAGTTGTCCGCCGTCCTCCAGAGCTTCTCCGATGACACCAGCAATTCCATGTATGGGAGGCTGGACCTCTTAATGCAGAAACAGCTGACTGACCTCCTGACCAACACAAAGGAGAAAATGCGTGCTGATAGCAAAGGTGAGACCTGGCTGTGGGCATATTTGGTCTGTCGATGATGTACAATGCTTATGAAGAGATGGGAGTTTTCAATGATAGCACTTTGGCCCTCCCTTTTTTTTTTCTGCTGTGTCGCATCTCTAGTAGAGGGCGCTCAGGGGCGGGCCGCCTGTAGCAGAGGGCGCTCAGGGGCGGGCCGCCTGTGGCAGAGGGGCGCTCAGGGGCGGGCCGCCTGTGGCAGAGGGGCGCTCAGGGGCGGGCCGCCTGTGGCAGAGGGGCGCTCAGGGGCGGGCCGCCTGTGGCAGAGGGGGGCTCTCAGGGGCGGGCCGCCTGTGGCAGAGGGGGGCTCTCAGGGGCGGGCCGCCTGTGGCAGAGGGGGGCTCTCAGGGGCGGGCCGCCTGTGGCAGAGGGGGGCTCAGGGGCGGGCCGCCTGTGGCAGAGGGGGGCTCTCAGGGGCGGGCCGCCTGTGGCAGAGGGGGGCTCTCAGGGGCGGGCCGCCTGTGGCAGAGGGGGGCTCTCAGGGGCGGGCCGCCTGTGGCAGAGGGGGGCTCTCAGGGGCGGGCCGCCTGTGGCAGAGGGGGGCTCTCAGGGGCGGGCCGCCTGTGGCAGAGGGGGGCTCTCAGGGGCGGGCCGCCTGTGGCAGAGGGGGGCTCTCAGGGGCGGGCCGCCTGTGGCAGAGGGGGGCTCTCAGGGGCGGGCCGCCTGTGGCAGAGGGGGGCTCTCAGGGGCGGGCCGCCTGTGGCAGAGGGGCGCTCAGCGGTTTGTGCCTTTTTCTCTTGCAGAGTCTGTTCCACCAGTGGCTGTCAAGGAAATGGATCTCTCAGCTTTGCTGAGTGGTCTGAAAGACATTCGGATGTGTCGTGAAATACTCCCCTCTCTGGAACGATGTGTTTGTGATGACGTCCCCTCACTACGTTGTGATGTTACACAACTTCTAACCAACCACAACTTCTTCCTACAGCTCCTCTCCTGTCTGGAGCAGCTGAGGGGTGAAAAACGTCTGCTGCTTTGTGTGTACAGGTAAGAGCAATGCACAGGTAAGAACTTTGTGTTACAGATAAATGAATGCAGGTGACAGCTCTCTGTGATGGTTTTGCACTGATTGAACACGTGTGGTGGCTGCGTGTACAGGTGAGAGTGCTAATTGTACAGGTGTGGTGGTGAGCACTGATTGTACTGGTTTGTGGGCTGTGTGTACTGCTGGGGGCACTGATTGTACGGGTGGTGAGGGCTGTGTGTACTGCTGAGGGCACTGATTGTACGGATGGTGAGGGCTGTGTGTACTGCTGAGGGCACTGATTGTACGGATGGTGAGGGCTGTGTGTACTGCTGGGGGCACTGATTGTACGGGTGGTGAGGGCTGTGTGTACAGCTGAGGGCACTGATTGTACGGGTGGTGAGGGCTGTGTGTGTACTGCTGGGGGCACTGATTGTACGGGTGGTGAGGGCTGTGTGTACTGCTGGGGGCACTGATTGTACGGGTGGTGAGGGCTGTGTGTACAGCTGGGGGCACTGATTGTACGGATGGCGAGGGCTGTGTGTACTGCTGAGGGCACTGATTGTACGGGTGGCGAGGGCTGTGTGTACTGCTGGGGGCACTGATTGTATGGATGGCGAGGGCTGTGTGTACTGCTGGGGGCACTGATTGTACGGATGGCGAGGGCTGTGTGTACAGCTGGGGGCACTGATTGTACAGGTGGCGAGGGCTGTGTGTACTGCTGGGGGCACTGATTGTACGGATGGCGAGGGCTGTGTGTACTGCTGGGGGCACTGATTGTACGGGTGGCGAGGGCTGTGTGTACTGCTGGGGGCACTGATTGTACGGGTGGTGAGGGCTGTGTGTACTGCTGGGGGCACTGATTGTACGGGTGGTGAGGGCTGTGTGTACAGCTGAGGGCACTGATTGTACGGGTGGTGAGGGCTGTGTGTACTGCTGGGGGCACTGATTGTACGGGTGGTGAGGGCTGTGTGTACTGCTGGGGGCACTGATTGTACGGGTGGTGAGGGCTGTGTGTACAGCTGGGGGCACTGATTGTACGGGTGG